TTAGAATTTTTTTTAAAACAAACAACACAAAATTTACAATTTTACTTTACACACTTGTAATATTACAATGGATTTATTAGGGCAGGAAGACATGAACCATTTCTCATAGAACAAAACAATAATGTGTTGGAAGTAACGGAGGATGAACAAATCCAAGCTGTATTAGAAATTGAACCTTCTGAATGTATGCTGGAGTTATTAAACACTGAACCGAAAGAACCTTCTAAAAATTGCTGCGTCAACGTATTAAATTCTTTAAGGGTTGATAATAATATAACAATTTGTTCGGAAACATTAAAAAATAGAAGAATTTGGAAAGAAAATAGAAAATACAGAATAACAGGTTCAAGATGCTACTCTCTGTACACCTATACGAACAATGCTAAAGCAAACTGGCAGAAAAAATCCGAAAATTATTTTTATCCTAAGGAATTTACAAAAACCGAAGCCATCAAGCATGGAATTGAAATGGAACCGTTTGCGAAAACTGCTTACGAAACTAATTTTAATGTTAAAGTTGTTCAGTTAGGCCTCGTTGTCTCACCTGACAATTCTTGGCTCGCTTATTCACCAGATGGAGTAATTTTAAATGAAAATAATAGGCCTGAGAAATTAATTGAAATAAAGTGCCCATTTAATGGAAAAATAAAATGCATTGAAGAAGTTGTACCTTCTCTTCATTATATAGACAAAAATAATTGTCTAAAAAAGAAGAATCCTTATTACGGTCAGATTCAACTCGGAATGGCGATATTAAATGTCAAAAGAACTGATTTTATTGTATACTCATCGTTTAATAATAGTTTTTATCTTGAAGAAGTTGAATTTGATCCTGAATTTACGAAAGAAATGTTGTCAAAATTAAAAGAAAAATACTTCAACACAATGTTGCATTATATTTGTATTAAAAATAACACTACTTAATAAATTGTAAATTATTCAAGCAGAATAAATAAGTTTCTATTTATTTATTAATAATTGTAAATTATTCAAGCAAAATAAATAAATTTCTTTTTATTTACGATTTAATAAAAACATTAATACATATTATTTACATCAATTAAATTATTTAAAACCAATTTGTAATTTTTATGCATTTAATGCATTAATTCAGCAAAAATAAAATTTTAGTGAATTTTTTGAAACGAAATCACGAATGAAACTTATCATCTTTAAATATTGGTTTACTTAAATTTACCACAGCACACAGAATGTTCATAATTTTTTCACTTTTTGGAATAAGACACGAAGACATTTTACCGCCAAGTATTTCAAATACTTTTAATCTTTGGTTTAATCTCTCCACGTGAACCCTTGCGCTTGCAATGTCTGCATTTTTTAATGCACTATCGGCTGAAAATTGTGATTGTTTTCTAAGAAATGACGGTCTTATTAAATTTAATTTGTTGTCGATGCACAAGTCGTCGATTAAAAAACCTTTATCCACCATCACAGATGAACCTTTCGGTAAATGATCCACTAAAGAGCTTTGGCTGAAAATTGCTTTGTCAGATGCTCTGCCCCCATAAACTTTCGAAACATACGACAGAGTTCCGGCAGGAGTTACTCCTGTCATGAATTTTATCGTATATCCCCCTTTATAGTGAGAATAACAATTAATTTGGCAGCATAAGTTCTTCGGTTTCTGAATTCCTATTTCAGTGCAATCTAATATTATTGTTGTATTAGGATAATTGGCAAAGCAAAGAGGAATGTTTCTCGAAATTTCATCTTGAGATGAAAAATGAATCATCGGTTTTAAAACAATTTCCAAAATGTCCAGAGTATTATAAATAATTTCTGAGCAATTTCTTATAGTGACAGTAGGAAATAACAGTGAGAGAAACGAGTAACTAACGTTTTGTTTTAGCTTCACAAACGTCAGTAAAATTCTGTCCCGAATATTTAACACTCGAGTCGTACTTTTTAATTCTGGTGCAGCTTCGCTGAATGCATCTACTATGCTGTCAAATAATTGAAAACTTTCAATCCCTGTAGCGGTGCTTAATTGTTGATCAGTTTTCAAAAAATGATCAAAGAAGCTTGAAATTAAATCTCCACTCGTAACCTGTACCTCAGCATCAGCAAATAATTTTTCAAATGCTGTAATTTCTTCATTTAAATTCGTCCCTTCTAGAAAAAATCAATTGAACACGATTCAGAACGATTGAGTACAAAAATTTTTTAATCGTTTTGAATTGTTTTCAATTGGAGTATATATTTTTTCAATTGATTCGAATTGTTTTTAATCGTGTAAAATAAGTTAAACTTTTTCAATTGTTTTTAATCGGGTGCTATCGGGAGAACGACATGCGCAAATAGTTAATAATAAGAATAAGAAAAGTGTCGAATCAAACAGGAAAGATGTTTTTCTTCTAAATGTTTTGTAATATATAGTTTGTTCTGCTCGTGCGTATGTGTCAAAAATTTAAAATCTAAAGTAAAATTGTTAGTAATATGGATAATGTCAATATGTTTACTTATCCTATATATAAACAAATTAAGTATGACAACCTTTGAGTTGTTAATACATAACCTCAAAAAAATAAAAATAAATAAATAAATGGGTACGTAAAAAAATACATGTAAACAGAAATTAAATAAATAATTAGTTACATATAAAAATAAATATAAGAAAAAATTCTATTTCTTACATTTTAAAATAATTTCAGTTTTTCATTTTTTTAGAACAAATTTTTAGTTTTTCTAAACTTTGGGTGTCCAGCAGCTTTTCAAAAAAATTTAACAAAAAAATTATTCAGTATAAATTTTGTTCAAAGTTCACCTGAACTTGTAATCAAATTCTTTAAAAAGTTCAATTGTTTTCAAATTTTTCAATTAAATTTTACAAAATTTTAATTATTTAAAATTAATAAGTCAAAACTTTTAATTCTAACTCTTCCAAAATTGAATTACTTCTATTAAATTCTGTAATTATTTTATTTATAAAAAATTTTAACTAATTAACTAATTATTGCTATTATATTTAATATAACTGTTGCAAAATGATTAAAACAAATTATTTTAATTTTTTTTTGATAAAATTACTTATAAATATGCACATTTAAACAATTATTAATTTTATTATTTGAGATGAAATTTTTTTCTTCGCCGCAATTGAAACATTTTTAAGATTTTCATTGGCTCCAATTTCGGCGTGCAAAGTATCTTCAAAATACACGTAATTTTGGTCACCGAAATTGATACACCGCGCAATAGAAAATTACGGTATTAGTTTTAATTTCTCATATTTGTTTAAATAATCGATTTTTATAGAGTTAAACATTTTTTAACATCTAAATAACATAACCTCTTAGTTTAAGTCTTAAATTGACTTTATACAATATAAATGTCGAATTTTCTATTTCAAAGGTGTTTTGACTCGAATCGCGCCGCAATTAGTGCATTTACCCTATCAATTTTTTCTAAAAATTTCAAATTAAAATTCTTTACAAACTTACTGAGTGCTAGAAACGGATGTTAAATCCGTTACATTTGTATAAAGTTTTTTATTTATTAAAATATTTTCAAAATTTTTAATTAAAAATCGCCTGAAATTTAATTATTTCTACGAATCTTATAATTATTGTAGATCTTTCAATATTTGACTATTTAAACAAAAATTCAATATTGACTGAAATTAACAAAAAATTTCAGCAAATAATAAAAATTTCAATTTAAAACAAAACATGATGTATTTGTCAAAAATTATTTTTTAAACATTTTTTCGATAAATTATAAACATTTCGTTTTCTGCAGCTTCATTCAAAGATAAATTAAAAAATAACTTTAAATTAATTTTTGATAAAATATGTAATTTTCTTCTGTGGTGACAAATACATTGATAAATATTTTAATTTTTTAGTTCGGATAATAATCTTTGAAATAATATTTTTCTAGACTGTTTAATTAGTTGCATTTTTTAAAATTTTCAAAAAATCCTGCCAAACAATAGTGCATGGAATACAATCTATAGAACACGATTGAAAACGATTGAATATAATAAGAAAGTAAATCGTCCTCAATTGTAAGAACACAATTAAGAAACACGATTGGGGACAATAGAAATTTCTTTCCTATTGTTTTCAATCGTTTTCAATTAATTTTTTCTAGAAGGGGTGTCAGTAACAGCTGACTCATCATTTATTTTCTTTTCGTTACCAGTCGCATTGTTAATTTTAGGATCAAGCAAACAATTGCAAATTTCAATGTTTTCATTTTCCTTTGAATCATTTTTTTGGCGATTTTCGAATCGAGCTTGTCTTTCCTTAATATTTTTAACTGATACTTCTGATGGATTTGATTCTATGGAAGATTTCGGTAAGTTCACAGATGGTATGACTGTTCTCTTTAAAACTTTTACTTGAGAAAAATCTAAAAAGATAATATTTACTATATATTTACATGTAAAATAAAATTAATAAATGAAAATAAACAAATAATTTTGAAGTTCGTTATATAATTAAAATTAAAATCGTAAAAATTTAATTTTTATTTGTTTGGAAACAATACAGTACTTTATATTTATTTACTTACCAGATTTTGTAACACACGTAAAATCTTCTTTGACAAAGTGCAAAGAACAAACTCTCATGCTACGTGTCACCTTTTTACCCATTCTCAACACTCTTTCCCACAAAATTCTCTTGTCAATTAACTCGACAGTTCCAAATTTATTTACATAATTAATTTTCATTTGTCCTTTTTTCGGAAAATAGTGGAAACTGAGGTTAGGAGTTTTGACAGGTGTACTATTGCATTTATAAACACAACAGAATATTTTACTTTTTGAAAATTTTGTTGGAACTGGTTCCGCTGTTTCTTTCTCATCCATTGCGGTATAAAATGATATTTAACTTTTTTAATATAACTTAAAAATTCACTTTTTCTCTACAATAAAAAATGTCTTTGCTATATTTCCATAGTTTTCACCGGTTTGTTTACTTTTTCTACCTACTGCGTTTAACTCAACTTTCTGCCACCAGTTGGCGCATCAACATTTAGCCAATCCCAATATCCCTGATTTGTTTTAGTCGCAGTAAGCTTACGGTATCGCACTCTTCTTGTTTTTCAAACCATTGTAAAGCTGTTTCTAGAGCTTGAAATGCATCTGAATGAGATGGCTCTGCATCATTTTCTTCACTTTCATTTTTTTCTGTTTCGTCTTCACAAATTTCCTTTTGATTGTTCGCCTGCAATAAGTTATTAACAATTTCATCATCTGACATGATTTGAAATCCTTGATCATTACTATCACAACTGAGCAATTCTTCCAAATCTTCAGAATCGCATTCCTGGCATATTTGTAAATCCTTTATGATCTCACTGATTTCCCCTGAATCAAAATTATCTGTATCTTCTGCTGGATTTTCTTCATTCCGGTTGAGTATTTTATTCCAAGCTTTATTCAATGTTTTTCTTTGAACCAGATCCCATGTACTAACAAGCATATAACAACATTCCTTTAAATTCATCTGTTTGAAAAACGTCAAAACGACTTGTGCATCAGTGTCATCATCAACAGACAATAATCTGCGTAAAAGTTCTTTCCTATAAAGTCTTTTTAATGTTTCAATGACGCTTTGATCCATGGGCTGCAATAGCGAAGTTACATTAGGAGGCAAAAATATCACTTTAAACATTCCATTTTCTCTCTCTAATGTTTCAACTGAAGGATGAGTTGGTGCATTATCCAGTAAAAGTAAGACCTTTCCTTGCTTGCCAATTTCGTTTTGGAATTTTTTTACTTCAGGGATAAAAGTGTTATCATACCAGTCATAAAATATCTTTGTGTCCATCCATGCGCTCTTCTGATTTTTATAAATTAAAAGGATTTTTATGTTCTTGAAACATCTGGGCTTCTTAGACTTTCCAATAAGAAGCAAAGGCATTCTATGACTCACAGAAGCGTTTGCGCAAACTAGAATTGTTACTCGTTCTTTACTCGAGTTATGTCCTGGAGCAGAATTCTCTTGACAAGAAGCTAATGACTTTGACGGTAACAATTTCCAATTTAAACCAGTTTCATCCGCGTTATAGACAAAGTCTAAATCATAGTCACCTTCATTTAACGTTTTTTTAAAATCATCTTTAAAAGAATTTGCTGAATTCGTATCTGCCGACATTTTTTCACCTTGAATTTCTAATTCACGAATTCCATGACGATTTTTAAATTTTAATAACCATCCGTTACTTGCCAAGAATGATGCACTGCCACCTAATTTTTTATTTAAATCTAATGCCTTTTCACGGAGCAAAGGACCTGATATCGGTCGCCCCGTTGATCGCTTTTGTAAAAACCAACTGTACACAGCATCTTCTAAAAGTTTATTTGGCGGGTCCTTCATAGCTTTCCGATTAATACTTCCATCTTGACTATCAATTTTGACCTTGTAATTTAAAATTGATTCGGCGTTTTTCTTAATATCTGATATTGTAGAAGTACCAACTCCATATTTATCGGCTAACAAACGACCACTTTCACCTTTTTTTAATGACTCGATGATTTTTATTTTATCAGTAATCGGTAACACTACTCTTTTACGACTCGACATTTTTAAACTTCTTTCTATATTATTCGTGAGATCGACGTGTATAGAAAAAAACCGATTCTGAACCAAAACCCAAAACCTATGGAAAATATCTTAAAGTTAAAACCAACTCTAAAAATTACATGAAAACTTTTGAATTGAAAGTGAGGTTAGAGTGTATTATTTTGCTAATAAAGCAGAATGTGTTTTAACGGCATGTTCAGAATTCTCTTAAATAATTACTATTTAGACTTTTAGTTAATTATATTCCTTAAGTTTTTGACTATAAAATTAGTTCCTTAACGTAGAGCTCCCGATTTACACGCGAGTATTAATTTGATTCAAAATCAGGACCTGCGCGATTGACTTGAATGTTTCGCTCTCTTCTCGTCCGACTCGACTCGAATCAACATGTGCTCGCGAGAAATTTCTAATCCTAGATTAAAATTGAAATCCTACAACTTTCTTAATTAAACATTTCTTCGTTAAAGTGCATATATAATTTTGTTAAAAGAACAATACAGTTTTCTATTTTTATTAAATAAATAAACCAAGTTTTGTTACAAGTGAAAAGTGACTCCATTTCATTTCACCATGTGCTCGATAATTAAATAATCTCAAATAATCCTTGCTTCTAAATTAAAATCAAACTAAACAAAAATTCAGACATTAAAATTGGTCCTTCGAGCCGGATTTCAATTTTCGATTTCGTTCACAAATTTCAACTTTACCAAACTACGCTGACTACGCAACGTGGTGATAAGAGCTGATAAGCATCTCGTGCTCCACAAGAGTATAGTACAACGTTCTACAACGCTCGAAATGTTGAGGAAGTATAATCCGATGTAAAATTATTTCCGCTGACTTGAAGTAAGTACCTTTCTTTAATTATTTCGCCAGTGAGCTTCAACAAATGAGTAAAATTGCTAAGCACGCCCTTTCGCTAAATCAAATCTACGCTTATTGAAATTGCTGTCTCATTAAAATTTAATTTTATAATTCTTTGAGCAAATGCCCTCAAGTTGTACCTTGAAAGTGCGTCATCTTGCATGTGGGGAATAGTAGAGTACTCACATGTAGACTTTAAGGTTTAGCTATCCTCCTTAAAATAAATAATGCTCAGTATTTGAATTATAACATTAAGTTTCGACTAAATTTGCTAAAATTTGCTACGCTAAATTATTGCTGACTTTCTAGCAAGAAGTCAGTTGATTAGTCAGAGTGCTTACTACTTGTCTTTTTTAAGCTTTTCACTGGTCCTCAACATTCAACATGGCGGAAATGAAAACACAGGAAACTCTCGCGCTCTTTATCACTCAACTTAATTCAAAGATTATGAACTCATCACGTGCCAAGGAAAGTCCGTTGAACTATCTTGAGGCTCGTTTATCCAACCTGGAAGACTATTGGAAGGATTTCTACCGCAATCACTGGCTGTTGATGTCAAACCATCTTTATACCGATGCAGATTACTTCAAGAATTCCCAGTATGAGACGATCGAGGAGGAATACATAGCCACCAAAGCTGCCATCAAGCGAGAAATCAGTAAGCTCACTACTCTGAAGACATCAAATTCACTTGAAACCTCTTCTCAAGGTAACAATGGTAAAGAAACAAATTTTAAACATTTACCCATATTAACCCTTCCTAAGTTTTCTGGTAATCAATTGGAGTGGGAAACCTTCCGAGATTTGTTTACAGCTATGGTCGACCAGGCGGCGCTTTCCGATGTTCAAAAGCTTTATTACCTGAAATCATCTCTCACAGGTAAAGCTGCTGAACGCATAAAAAATTTAACTGTAAACGAAAACAATTATCTTCAGGCTTGGACAATGCTTGTCAAGCGTTACGATAATCAACGAATTCTATTGTCAGCGCACATGCGTAAATTACTTTCTTGCCCACCCGCGTCTAAAAGGTCTGTTGATGACATTTTAAGACTTTTAGACACAACCAATGAGTCGATTCGAGCTTTTTCAAATATGAATAGACCAGTTGATTTGTGGGACGATTGGTTTGTACATATTCTAACAAACAAACTTGATCCAGTTACGCGCGAAGAATGGGAATATTCGCTGAAAGATTCTGAGGATTTTCCGATGTATGAGGAACTTTCTTCTTTCTTCGAAACCACTGTCAGAGCTTTAGAAGCTTCTCATCCCATCGAGAATTCTCCTAAAGCTCAAAATAACACAAAATCCAAACCACAATCTAATCACTTCGATAAAAAATCCAAGAAGTCGCAAATTTCAGTCAATCACTCGCAGACTGAAACAAAACCGAAGTCAAAGGCTTGCCCTCTTTGTCAGACCTATCATTATCTATCCTACTGCCCTCAGTTTAAGAAACTGAAGGTAACTCAACGGAGTGCTCAAGTCCAACGCTTAGGACTCTGCTCCAATTGTCTCGGCGGAACTCATAAACTTGATGACTGTTCGTCAACTAAGAGATGTTTTGTGTGTTCTGAAAAGCATCATACCTTTCTTCATGATGCTAGTGAACACGCCGAACCTGGAACTTCAAATCAAGCCTCTTCAACTTCTTCTGAACAGGCAAGTTGCAACGCATCTTACCTTTCCAATCATCTCGCTAACCCAGTCGAAAGTCAATCAAGGGGCATTTTCGCAACTGCCAATATTAAACTTACCTCGCTGAAAGATAAATCAATAACTGTAAAAGCATTCCTCGACTCCGGTTCTGAAAGAACACTCGTGACTGAACGAGTTGTTCAATTCCTTAAATTACCTAAACAGAAATGTGATGTCTCTCTGAAAGGCATCGGTAATTCTACACTTGGAAACTCCAATTATAAGGTTGATCTTTGGTTGAATTCACCGAAAGATCCTGACTTCCAGTTACCAATCAATGCTCTAGTCCTGAAATCCCTGATTCAACTCTTACCTAAGAGCAGACCTGAGCACAGTAACTGGCCACATCTCGCCGATCTAGATCTTGCCGATCCTCACTACTATAATCAGGATCCTGTTGATTGTGTTATAGGTATTGATCTGCTTGGTCACACTTTGCTTCCTGGTCTAAAGCAAGGTCCTTTAAACAGTCCCACAGGCCTTCTAACAACATTTGGTTGGATCATCTTTGGTCGATCTATTTCCCAATCCACTGATTCACAAAATTGCCTTTCCACGCTCCAAGTGGAAGAAAAGGATTCGCTGAATCAACTCCTTCGTGCCTTCTGGGAAGTTGAAGAACTTCCCAAGCAAACTTTTCTGACCAACGCTGAACTGGATTGCGAGAATCTTTTCAAGGACACCCATTATCGAAATGAATTGGGTCAATATGTTGTTCGCTTACCGGTGTCTACATCACCTGATCAATTGGGGAAATCGAGAGAACAAGTCGTTTCCATGTTTCTTCGAACTGAAAAACAACATTCAAAAAATCCTGTCGCTCAATCCAAGTACAATGACTTCATATTTCAATACATTGAAGACACACACATGAGACCCGTTGATGAAAACGATTCTAAAGCTCCATTTGTTAATTACATCCCACATCATGTAATAACGAAAAACAACGATCCTTCTTCCAAGATCAGAGTTGTTTTTAACGGTTCTTTTCGTACTTCCTCAGGATTATCCCTGAATGAGATCCTCCACCCCGGGCAGAAACTGCAAACCGATATTTGGTTGATCATCACCCGGTGGCGATTCTGGAAATACGTGTTTACCTGCGACATTGTCAAGATGTTTCGACAAATTAGAATCGAATTCCCAGACTGTAATTTGCAACGAATTGTCTGGAGACCTGACTCGAATCAACCTCTAGTAGACTACTGTTTGACAACAGTAACCTATGGGACCAGACCCGCTCCTTTTCTGGCAATCAGAGTCCTGAAACAATTAGCGTTAGATGAAGGGGAGAACTTTCCATTAGGCGCAGACGTATTGATCAACAACACGTACGTTGATGATACTTTTGCTGGAGGAGATTCCTTGGAAGAGGCAACTCAAGTCCGTGATGAGTTCGTTTCCATTCTGGCTTCAGCAGGTATTTCGCTCAGTAAATGGGCCGCCAACGTCGATAAATTAGTCCCTCTTGATTCTACTGATGGTGAGAACAAAGACAAATGCTTCAACCTTGAAACCTCTGTTTCCACTTTGGGGCTGCACTGGAATCCCGCATCTGACGAATTTCACTACAAAGTGTCTCCCATTGACTCTTCTCAATCCACTAAACGAATCGTTGCTTCTGAAATCGCAAAGCTGTATGATCCCCTCGGCTGGTTAGCACCAGTTCTTCTACGAGCAAAATTGTTATTACAAAACTGTTGGTTGGCTGGTTCTGACTGGGATAAAGCCTTACCAATCAATCTCTGTTCCGAATGGACCGAATTCCAACATCAGTTACAGCAATTGAACCTAGTAAAAATTCCCCGTTGGATCAACACTGAAAACGATCATTCGAATTGGGAACTGCATGGCTTTTCAGATGCCTCTGAAAGAGCCTACTCAGCAGCAGTCTATATTGTCCATCGATCATTCGCTGGTGAATCACATTCGAACCTAATCATCGCTAAAACCAAGCTCGCACCTGTCAAGGCCATATCTCTTCCAAAACTAGAGCTTTGTGCTGCGACGCTTCTCGCAAAATTGACATCAGTAGTCACTGAAAAATTAAACTTTCCCTCCAAATCTATCCACTACTGGTCAGATTCTCAAATCGTTCTCTCATGGCTTCAAGGTCACCCTTCACGGTGGAAGCCATTTGTGGCCAACAGGGTCAGTGAAATCCACTCTTTGGCAAAGGAAATCCCCTGGAGACATGTCCCCTCCAAAGATAATCCTGCGGATTGTGCTACCAGAGGATTCACCGTTGATGAGCTTCTCAATTCCACTCTGTGGTGGCATGGACCAGTTTGGTTGCTGAAATCACCAGACAACTGGCCTGTTTCGATTCAAGTCCCTAACCCTAATCTTGACTTAGAAGCACGTTCAAAATTTATTGACAAGGTCGACGAGATTCAAATCAACGTTGTATTGAATAGAGGAATCCCCGAGCTTCTTTCTTCTGTCTCGTCACTCACCCAGTTATTAAGAGTGACAGCATACTGTCTCCGATTTATCCAGACTCTTCGAAATCCAAACTCTCAAATTGAACCTTATCTGACTGCTGACGAGTTAAAACGAAGCTTCTCGACCTGGATAAAAGTTGTGCAAAACGATCATCTTTCTGAAACAATCGAGTTGTTGAAGAACAAAAAACCGTTACCCTCAGGTAACCCACTGATCAAGTTAGCGCCATTTTTGGACAACGATGAGGTTCTCAGAGTTGGAGGACGGCTCCAAAGTTCCCTACTCTCGTACGATGAAATGCACCCAATCATCCTGCCAAAAAATAGCAAACTTTCCGCATTGATCATCACTCGAGCTCATCTCGATGCCCTTCATGGAGGTCAGCAACTTACCCTGAGTAGGATTCTCAAAAAATTTTGGATCATCAGTTCCAAAACCCTGATCAACAAAATCATTCGAAGCTGTGTCAAATGCTTCCGTTTTCGAGCGAACTTTCAAACTCAGCTGATGGGTCAACTGCCAGCTGAAAGAATTACCATCTCGAAACCGTTCACATTCACTGGCTTAGATTATGCTGGTCCCTTTCACATCCTACCGTCAAAAGGAAGAGGCATCCGATCAACGAAAGGGTACATATGTTTATTTGTGTGCCTTTGTTCTAGAGTTATACACCTTGAGCTTGTTTCCAACTACGAGACGAGCGGATTCCTCGCGGCCTTCAAGCGATTCACATCCCGTCGAGGTCAATGCGACAAGATACTCAGTGACAACGCCCGAAATTTCGTTGGTGCTGCGAGAGAACTGCGACAACTCTTCCTTGGCGCTTCCAAAACATTCATCCCTGTGGCTGAACTGCTGGCAAACGAGGGAACCACCTGGTCTTTCATCCCCCCACACTCACCTCACTTTGGTGGGATCTGGGAAGCCGGAGTGAAGTCGGTGAAGCATCACCTTCGACGTGTCGTTGGAGAGACACGCATGACCTTCGAAGAACTGAGCACTGTATTATGCCAGATAGAGGCATGCCTTAATTCCAGACCTCTTTATCCGAATCCCTCAGATGCAAATTCCCTCTCTGCAATCACTCCTGGACATCTCCTAACTGGTGGACCCCTTGTTGCCATTCCTGAACCTCCCTTGTTCAACGAAAATCCGAGCAACCGATGGTCACTGATTACAAAGATGAGAGACGACTTTTGGAACCGATGGTCCCACGAGTACCTTCACCATCTCCAACAGCGCTCGAAATGGTTGGTAGAAACCAATGCAGTCAAGATCGGGGACGTCGTGTTACTCAAGGAGGACAACCTTCCCCCTACGAGATGGGCTCTCGCTAGGGTTCAGCAACTGCATCCAGGACCGGACGGACTTCCGCGAGTTGCTACCATTAAGACTAGCACTACTACTTTGAAACGAGCATTTTCTAAACTCGCTGTTCTCCCGATTCGCGAAGTTAGCAACGAAAATTAAATTCAATCTGCTTTAAAGAAAATTTTGTAACGACGCTCAAGTTAACTTTGATTTAGTTCTTGTTTCTTACACTCATTTTGCGTTCTCTTTTAGAATCAAACGCACCCGGGCAGAATGTTCAGAATTCTCTTAAATAATTACTATTTAGACTTTTAGTTAATTATATTCCTTAAGTTTTTGACTATAAAATTAGTTCCTTAACGTAGAGCTCCCGATTTACACGCGAGTATTAATTTGATTCAAAATCAGGACCTGCGCGATTGACTTGAATGTTTCGCTCTCTTCTCGTCCGACTCGACTCGAATCAACATGTGCTCGCGAGAAATTTCTAATCCTAGATTAAAATTGAAATCCTAAAACTTTCTTAATTAAACATTTCTTCGTTAAAGTGCATATATAATTTTGTTAAAAGAACAATACAGTTTTCTATTTTTATTAAATAAATAAACCAAGTTTTGTTACAAGTGAAAAGTGACTCCATTTCATTTCACCATGTGCTCGATAATTAAATAATCTCAAATAATCCTTGCTTCTAAATTAAAATCAAACTAAACAAAAATTCAGACACGGCAGAACATTGATATTCCAGAAAAAGGTTAGGAAAGAAATTTAATGATTAATACAACCCGTAATTCTCTAAACTCACTTTAAAGTCTGAAAACTTGACATACACTTTTTCCAATGAACATAAACCATTAATCGTACACTTTTCAATTATTTTTGTGGCAGTTCAAAAATTCTACATAAATAAACATACCTTTATTATAAATTATAATGATCTATGTAATATTAAACAAACAAGCTTTTATTTACAGCTTAACGATTCGAATTTAACCAAACTTTTCAATGTCAAACGATCATACGAACGCGGAAGCCATTTTACAATTTCGATATTCGATACAGCGATCATGTCGCATATGTAATCGATACTACTCTCTGGTAATCGATTTCAATTTAAAAGTTGGGCGGGGAGAAATTTAAAATAGAAGTTTACGGCTTGAAACTTTATAAACTTTATATTTAAAAAAAAAATTAATTTTAAATTTGTCCGGATAATCGAATATCCGGATAATAGGGGTCCGGATAATGGAGTCTCTACTGTAATAGTAATAATTATAATCAATAATTACGAAAATAAATTTGGAACCTTATAACATTCATTTAGTTTGATTTTTTTTATGAAATTTTGATCATCATTAATATTTACTGATTATAAAGTTGAAAAACTTTAAATCATTATTTACAGTCTTATACTATATAAAATCCTATTTAAAAATAAACTTTTTTATTATTATTATTATTTGGACGATTTTATCACAATTCTTTTTTTTCTTGTTTTTTTTAAATGGATTTTTTATATACACAAACAGAAGAAGCGTAAGTTCAGGTCAAAATAATAAACATTTTTCTCTTTTTTTTTTTATAAATTTGACCATTTGTTTGTCTTTCTTTTTTTTGAATACTTTAAAAGTAGCCGAGATACATAAGTAATCACGTCCAAAAGCACAATTTTTTATTGTTGGCAAATCAAGTGCATATTGATTGGCTACAGTTCTTGTATCAGTCGTTTATGTTACGGACGGATATCCGTAATATTTTAAATTTTTTTTTAACATAAATATTATTTATTAAAAATAATACTTATATAATTAACGTTACAAATACTTTCTCAAATATATACCTACATCTATACAACACAAACACACACACATACTAAGTTTCGGACACTAGAATATTCCAATATTATTTCTAATTAATTCAATAAATATTTATAATTTCATTTTTTTTTATTTAATTTCTAAATCAAAATTATTTCGCAAATGAATTCAGATTATTGAACCTCATATTGCGAAATAATTTGAACTAAATTATCGATCGATTGCACAAGTTGTGGAACATACACCGTATAGAGTTGCCACATTATTTTGGAAAATGAGGAAACATATAAAGTATACCGATAATAAAGGTGGTTGAACCGATCACGCCACGATTAAAATGCAAGTTTTGCTAAAACTTGCATGGAAACAACGAGGTGTGGATTGCAAAATCAACCCTCCCACAACCTAAAATTATATACTAAATGGGTGTGATCGTTGCCACCAAATTATTGTTCGAGGGGTCTTATTTTATCTTTCCCGCAGAGCGGATGTGTTTCCCGCAAAAAGGCGGATGAATATAAAGTTTAACTCCCACTAAGAGTGGTAGAGAATATTATTTGTTCCCCGCAGTAAGGGTTGAAATTCGTCAAGTTTGTTTATAAAAATACAAGTGAAATTTTCCACAATCTGTGAAATCAATCATTATATAAAAGTTCATAAATTTAAAAAGAAGAGTAAATTAATTATCAAATACAAAGTGCTATAAATGTTAAAAGTGCAAGTTACGATTAAATTCAGAAAGTGTTTTATTTTTGTTATAACAACAATTGTTTTTATTTCAAAACTAACTGTTTGGAAAATTCAGGTTTGGTGAACCCAAACTTCTGAATTTTTAATAAGCAGACTTTGAAATATTAAAATAATTGTCGCAAGTCAATAAATATTAAAGGTTAAATAAAAGGAATTTATTAGAGAACAGAGGAAGAAAGGATATACTTCCGCATGTTCGTGAATCATATATATATATATATAAAATACGAAGTTCAAATATCAAACGTTCAAAAGTAATAAGATACTTTTCAGTATCTTTATTTTATTATTATTCTGGTGAGTCGCATTAATATTACATATATTAATTAAAACATATATATATTCTAAAAACGAGAAACATACATTATTATACACAGACCACACATACAATTTGTTTCCTTTTATTGAGAGTTTTTCTTTTATTAGATGTTTCTCGTTCCTTTGTCATTTATAATAAATGACATCTTTTTGTGAGACTTGATTTTTTTTAATCAAGTAGCTTAAAGTAAACGTTAATCAAATTGTAAATCTTTTCTAACTAAAACCAATTGGGGAGCTGTATGTAAATTGTTTGGGGGTTGAATGAATAAATGTAATCTTATTTTATATCAATTCAACTCTTGATTTATTTAATCACCTTTATATGCATTTATCTCATTTCTTTCTTTGTGATCATTTTCAATAAAATACCGTCTACCCGGGGGTGTTGAATGGATAACACTCTGAATGACAGTCCACTACCTTTTTCTAATTTGCTTAGCGAAGAGCTATAACGCTTTCCGAATAAGCGGAATTGTTGAGTAATAAAAGTTAATATTCTTTTTTAAATATTTATTATTTCACTTGAATTATTTATCTTTATTATTTATTTTTGTTAATTAACATCCGTCTTTAACAGTTTAATTTACCTGAAAAACAAAACAATTGAAAACCCATTTCTTAATTCTTATTTTATAAATTAAGTTAAAAAAAATATGAAATTAAAGAATTAAAAATATCAATATTAGGCAATTTAAACTATTTAAAATTTGTTTTCATTTGAAGGGGATTTACAATATACATGATTCATTATTATGTGAATAATTAAATAATAAATGCAATAATACCTCAAAGATATCGAAGTAGACCTTCAGGAGAAGAAAAATAAGCCGCCAAAGTATCTCGCCGTTGGTAAACGTCTTGAGGAGGAATATAATCATTCCGAATGTTTTGATTTCGAGCCGCGCGAATTGCACCGTCGCCTTCAGCGACGCGAACGCGAACTTTGCAGCGATTATTCTCGCGAGGATTCATTAATTCATGTGTGCGCACAAAATTGTGCAAGCATAATAATGCTTGAATAATACTTATTGAATGCTTCAATGAGAAATCTAGACGGTTATGCAGAATTTGAAATTTGCTGTCCCAAATTCCGAAGGCATCTTCAATGCAATTTCTTTCCCTGCTTAACCTGCAATAAAAACAAATATATTTTTTAGATTTCGTTTGACATTGTTAACATTTTTTTTAGTTGGTGTACTCTACATATTTGTAAAGCTGACGATAAGATATAAGTCTTGTAATTTAGAGAAAGCTAAAGAAGAATAAAAGAAATTTATTTAATTTTTTTTATTACATAAAAATCCAATACATTTTACTGTACATCAATTTAAAATGAACAAAAATGCACTTGTAAAATGTCAAACTGAGAGAAAAATTATCAATAAAATTGTTAGGGACAGGAACTTTATGTTTTTTATCACAACGATTTATGATTTTTAAAAAATGCATTTATTCTGCAATTTTGCTCTTAAATATTGTCACTTATGCTACAATTATGCTCTTCAACATATTGACTTATGCTTTCGTTATACTTCAATCATGGAAAATTTTTACTTTTGTTTAATTTTAATTTTGTACCTACCTGATATTAAATTTAATTATTCGAAATAAAATACCTACAATTTAAGGTTGCACTGAATAAAATATTTTTAAAAATTGGATAATAAATAAATAAATTTGCAAATATAAACTTTTTAAAAATGTAATAAAGCTATTTCTCCCAGTTTCATAACACAGCCCCACAAAAAAAAAGTGTCGTGCGGGGCAGACCAGACTAGTCATTTCCTATGTATTTTGACGCGCTGAACACGAATCCGAAGTCCGTTTTGCTCCATCACGTCAGGATTTTTTGAGAGGTAGGCTATTCTTTTAAAAAATTGATGGATTTACTTCAAACTTGGTATCTAGGGGTTTTTTTGGTCGCTGATGACGAATTTGAAGTTAGATTTTCAAAATTCAAAATGGCGACTCCAATATGGCGGACGAATTTTGTAAAAATTGATGGATTGACTTCAAACTTGGTATCTAGTGGTTTTTTGGGTCGCTGATTACGAATCTGAAGTTAGATTTTCAAAACTAGAAATGGAAATTCTTATATACATAAGTAAGGTATTCACGTCTTTTTATGGTAGCGCACTCTTTTGTCCTCAAAGGATCTGTGTAATGGTTTTCTTTTCAAATTGGTGCCTCCAGGTACAATATCCCTTTTCAGCATCCAACTGTAGTCGGCCATCATATTTACATCCCATCTTTCTTGATAACGACTCTCAA